TCCATTTTTTAAATTGACACATAATATGTAAAATTATACATGTTCATGTGTATCATATAATGTTTCTATACATATGTACATTGCATAATATTAAAAATGAAGTTAAGTATATCTATCTTGCTAAATATCTACCAATTTTTGTGGTAAGAAAATGCCAATCCTTCCTTCTATCTTTTTTGAAATAAGCAGCCCACTATTACCAGAACTTATTCATCTTTTTAAAACTTGCAGCCAGTTATGCTACTCTTCTATTCATAATTTCAAAATCAATGTTTATTTTTAGTTGTTTTCTTAGCGTGATGGCGGCTAGGAACACCACGTTGGGTTTCTTCTAAGTTTCTTGGCCTGGCTGTCAAATGAAATGAGATGACTCTCTGAAAAAGGCAGGACAATGGGCCATATAGAACAGGCTCATGTCCAAAGCAGCAACAGAAACATGATTTGAGTTCTCTGTTCAAGGAAGTTAAGGAGCATGAAGCAGATTAGTGAGAGTAAAACATCTCAAAGTTGTGCCAGATGGTGCCATGGTTGTGGGCAATCAGTTTATTCTGATTTTGGATTCTTCTTCTCTTGGTGTGGGCAGAAGAATGATGAGGCAGAATGCCAGGAGTTTAAGTAACCTGAACTGAGTTCAAGCAAAGTGTCAACATATTTTAATTAATCTATGATTTATTTGAAAATTAAAAGAATAATTCCCTGAAAAGAACATATATGTAGTTTCTTGTTTCCTACCATTTTTTTGTAGTCCTTGAGAAAATCTCTCCATTGTTTAAGCTGATTACTGTGACAGATATTCTATATTTATCTTTTCATTTCACTGTACCATTTGGTGTAGAGGAAGACATTAAAATTTAAGAGAGGTTTAGTAATTAGTCACATGACATCATATTAAGTGGATGTTGAACTCAAAGTACTGTGGGTGTAATATCAAATCCTGAGATTCAGTAAACGATTTGAATAATTTAAAAAACTGAGCAATTGCCTGCTTCACTAGCAATTTTCTTTAGTCTTTAAAAATATTGGCAACCATACAAAATAACATGTATGTAGTTTAAATATTTGCATATGTTACATGCATTATGACTATCATATGCATCTTTTCAAAAAGCAATTTCTTTCATATGTACCTAAAAGTAGTATACTATGCTTTTATGTAAAATTTAAACTTTGCTTTCAGTGATTAAGTCTTAGTATGCGAGAAGACAACTAAAGCTAAATAGCTGATTTTCTATGTCTCAGTATTTCAGTCCTGAGTAAAAAAATTTTATCAAAACTAAGTTCTTCTGCTAAAAAATGTCATGGATGATAATATGCTTAGAAGCTTTACTGTAAATAAATATAATCATACAAAATAAACACAAATACATGCAATAAACCCCTTACTAGTCCACGTCAATTAGAGTTGGGTGTGTTTATTATTTCAGTATGTTCTAGGTTATTCACTTCTTTTGATAGCAGTAATTATTCAAATGTATAATAAAAGAATACAATATTATTGACTAGGAAGTTTATACCGATTTTGTAATTTTTTATTCATTTAAAAAGGATAAAAGAGCAATTAAACAGTTTCAAAATAGGTTAGTAAGACAGTTACAATAATTAATACATTGCATATTGTTGTCTTCAAAGTAGTTATTCTTATTTTTGCAGAATTGGGGATTAAACTGACCGTGTCTTGCTTGTTGGACAAGTGCTCTACCACTTAGCTATACCTTCAGATCTAAAAGTATTATTCTTGATGGACAAAGACTAGAAAAAAATCTGAGTATTTATCACCTGGGGGACGGGAACTAGAACTTCATCTGTTCATACTGTTAAGTAATAGAAAACAACACAGAAAAGAATGAACATCTAGTATGTACAATAACTTCAATCTATGTTGTTTCGTATACTTCTTTCATATATTGAAGTGAAAAGCATGATATAAAACTTCAGCATCTGGTTCTATTAGATAAAGTAGAAAAACATGCAAATGTAATCAGTTATAGTAGTGATCAAAAGGGTGTTTACACTTGGGAGAACATTGACTGGGAAAGGAAGAAGAAAGCTCTCTCCGTGGTGCTGAAGTGTCACTATCTTGAGTTGAGTGATTAGTTCATAGGTTTGTACTAAAGAAGAAATAAAAATTTAAAATTTATATCCTAAAAAGTGTTTGTTAGTTATATATTATTAAAATAATTAGATACTCTGAATAAATTATATATATCTATGTATCTATATATTTGATTTGCCAAACATAAATCACAATATAAAATAGAACTGATTTTGATAATAAATGATATGATACTGCACAGGAGATAAATTTTAACCTTTATCCTCTTAGGGATTTTTGGTTGACCTGGGAATTACACTGACATGAGACAATGTAAATTACCTAATACACCCATTTGATCTTGCAAGCAATTATAAAACATTTCATTTGACAACTCTAGAATACACATTTGTTCCATCAGCACATAGAACATTCCCTATCCTAGGCTATATTTTATTACTCATGTTTTGAGACAAGGTCTAGCTAGTTAGTTCAGGCTGGCTTGGACTCACTGTGTAGCCCAGGCTAGCCTGAGACCCGTAGTGATCCCCCTGCCTCCCAAGTGCCTGGGATTAAAAATGTGCACCATCACACCTGGTTAGATCATATTTAATACACAAAACAAGTCTTCAGAAGTTTTGAAAAACTGAAACAATGGCACTGACAATAGACTTTGACATTATTTGTATGTCACTGGTATACAGAATGCATGAATCAGGGATATTCTATCCAGGTTTCAAAGAAAGATTGAGAGGCCAAACAAATAGCCATTGAGAGAGCAATACATGAAGTGAAAGGTGCATTAGAAATCCAGAAATTCAGCAATTTCAGAAATGTGGAATGTCAGCCGAGGAAAGTTTCAGGATATGAATTGGAACCAGTCTAAGACAGGGGCTTGGGTGCCACTGCTAAGGCCAGAGGGGTAGAGAGCTCCACCTACTTAGAACTGATAATTTACTACATGTTTCCTGGATGCTTGGCATGGAGCTACAGAAGCAGAAGCCCCAATGTTTCTGTGTTTCTCTTTTTACCTTGCTTTTATCTTATTATTTTCTATTCAGTGTCCTTGTTTTTAGAATGTTAAGTGTTTACCTTATGCCATTGTTCCTGATGAATCTTAAATTCCAAAGCTAAGCATTTACTTAAAATCTCAAAAGAGATTCTAACTTTCAAATAAGTGATAGATAGTCGAGACCTTGGGGGAAAGAATTACTACATCAACTATTGTACACAAGAGAGTTGCATATGTTAAGGAGAATTAAAGCTTATTATTGACTTTATTTGGAGATTAAATATGACTTAAGGATGTGTTTGAATGTGAGGTTAACAAGAGATAAATTGTGATGAACTTCATTGGATTAGGAAATACCTAGCACATCACTATAGTGTGATACTGGTTTTGCCTGTGACAGTCGTGGAAGCATGCTTTTGCATCCTTTGTATGGGCCTTTGCTATTTCACTCTAGCACTGCTACTTTGGACTGCTCCCTAGTCACCATAGTATTATGGTTTGTGTGTCTTTTTCCCCTGAAAGCCTCATGCAAACATTCCAGAGTTTGTGATTAATTTATGATTCAATGAGATTATGGGTGTGGTTGCTGCTGGGATTATAGGTGTGAATACTACTCCCAGTCTGGGGTGAATAGCTAGAATGCAATTTAAGGGAGACAGACTACCTCTCTGTTACCATTATTATTGCTACTACTCCATTTTGCTCTCTTGTTCTTTGCTGCCACCATGACTGGATGCTTTCTGCCCTGTCCCACTCTGTCTTAGAGCCAGCTGAGTATGGACTGAAACTTTCATTAATTGTGAGCTAAATAAACCTTTCATTCCTTCATTTTCAGTGTCAGGTATTTGTCCCAGCAATGAGAGATGAGTAACTGAGACAGAATTTGGTACCAGGGAGGTGGGGTCATTGTTGTGGTTAAATCTGGTAATGTAGATTACAAGCTTTTGGGAATGGTTTATGGGAAGAGATAGGAAAGGTTTGGAGATGTCGCCTACAGAAGAAGTGTTGGAACAGCTTCAGCTTTTCTGTATGGGAGATTCTGGTGAGAATTCAGAATACCAGAAGGCTGATAGAAAGCCTGCCTGTAAATACCAGGCTGGGGAGGTCTCTGCTAGGAAGAAAGACTGCATTAGTTGTTGGGCTCTGGGTGTTTTGTGTTACAGCATAGCAACAAATTTGTCTGCTTTTTACCCATGCCCAGAGGCTTTGCCTGAGGCTGAAATTAAACAGGGAAACATATAGCAATACATCCAGCAGGATAATTTAAATATTG